AAAAAAAAACAAAAAAAAAGAACACCCATTTTCTAAGCAACTCTAAATGATTTCCTCTTCCTATTATTAGCTATTGAGAAAGAAATACAATTACTTTGCACAACAAAGTTTCCCTCTTTCTATTTCTGGCACCCGGTGAGAAAATGTGAAGCTGATACCAATCTAACAAAGAACAAGACTTGCTTCCACTATAAATCAAATACTCTCAGCATCATCCTCGTTAACACTCAAAAGTTTCAAACTTTACATGTTACTACACTTTCCTTTTTAGTCTATAAAAAAACCTTTTTATATTTAGAAACAATTTAGCTTTAAATTTTCTATTTTACATAATTTTTAGGCACATACCACAATTTTCAAAAGCATTTCTTTTTTTCTTAAATTCCATGACCAATCAAATATCCATGCATAAATTGGAACTGAGGGAGTAATAAAGAGAGACAAATAAAAGTACTAACCTGAGGTAAATTCCGAGGAACTAAAATTAGAAGCAAGAGACAATTGTTGTTGCTGTTGAAGCTGTTCTTGCTCTTGTTGAGGCAAATAAAAAGATGGGTTTTGCCCAAAAAGTGAGCCAGTATAAAAAGATCCTACCATTACCAAAAGGGCTATCATTATTGTTTGCCCTGTATTCCAATCAAATGCCCTCATATTTATCCAAGATCCCATGTTTAAGAAATTTAAATAAAATGTTACATATATACTAAAATCTTGGATCTATAAAGTGACTTATAATGGTAAGGATCAAGAAAAGAGCTAAAGGAAAGATAGTGTTTATACTACGAGATCGAGAGAGTTAAGATTTTGTGTGTGTTCAGAGCTGAAGTGGAAATGATGAGTGAAATTTTGTAACACTCACATCTATAAAAGTTTCGAAATAGGCTAAATATAAATATAGAATTTAGTTTTTTTTATGTGGCGTGAAGTGCATGTAATTTATACTTCTATTATGAATTTAAGATTGACTTTTGAATTACTTTTTTATTTATAAATAATTGAATATATAATTAGGAAAATAATAATAATTTTTAACAGTGGGTATAATTAAATACTAGTTAAATCAGAACACACCAAAAAAAGAAGAGAAAGCAATAAAGTCACGTGACAAAAGGAAAAGAAAAGGCTTAATGCCTTCAAGAAAACAGAAAGCTTTATACGAAGGCTCTGTCTCACACACCCAAAAGGCTTAAAGCCTTATACGAAACGGAGGCGCCAAAAATTGCACGGAAATTCTAGGGTTCTTCGTAACTTACTTATGAACTCAGGTATATAAAATTTCCTATTGTCAATTATCCTACAGTAGTAATAGGTAAGAATTGAATACTTAATTCCCTTCTTCCTATGTATCAACAGTAAGTTCCATATTTAGGTGTGAAACTTTAAAATTAATTCAAATACACTGGTTGTTGTAAAATTAATTGTTTGACGGGTATAAATTGGACTGGGGCCTATGTATTGGCTCAAGGAGTTTTGAGGTGAGTTGATATAACCTTTTACTAAAGTGGTTTAACTCACAAAAGCACGCATACAAGGTGTTTGATGAATTGCTTAAAAGAGTTTATATTTACTTAATCGGAGCGAGTGAGTACCTATTAACTTAGAATTGTTCTAGCAAAAGTTTAGATGATTTATTATGATATATGTGCATAAATTTTCATATTTTTGTGTTATTCTTATATACCATTTTTATGTTGAAAATTTATGAAGAAGCAAGAATCTTTAGAAATACTTTTGAATGTTTATTTCATTCTTATGACATGCTTTATAATTAAGGATACCAGCATGAGTATGTATATAATGTTCCAAAAAAAAAGATTTAGACTTGAAAAGTCACAAGAAGAAGTTTTAGAAAGAAAAGATTTTTGGGAGTATCCTTTATTCTGAGAAGGAGTCATCGTCCAGGCCGAGGGTCCTGACCAAGGCGTTGACTTCCTGAAACTACTTGTGCCAAAGTAGGGAGCACACGAGCCGAGGGTCTCGTTGCTGAGAATTTACTTAGCCATGCTAAGGTATGATACATGAGCGCTGAGAATCATGAAGGCACCTCGTGGATTGGGCCTATTCGATCAGGTTGGGATCGAACCCGCGCCGATCACACGGTGACTAAGACAGAAATAGGTCAGGATAGTCGGAACTCCCAAAGTATAAAGTGAAGTATTTTTTTTTATAAGAAAGAAAAGGAAAAGAATTTCTTTTAGAATATTCATAAACTGCTATTATGCAATTATTTTAGAATTGTTCTTATAAGCTTTTTGTTTTACATGCATTTAGAATCTTTGCTCGTAATGTATATGTTATCAAAGTTTCGTCCCCTGTCATTGAGACTCAATGAGTACAATGGATGGCACTGACGTTCTCTTTTGGGAACCTACGTTGGTCTGTGGTACAACGTAGGAACCGGTTTTGCAGGCGAGCAGGCTACGGGTTAGGACTTCCCTCTCTTCCAGTGTTGTTGGTGAGCTCCGCTTTTGTTCGTGGAGTATTCCTTAGAGTCATCTTTATTTAGTTATTTTTTTGTTTACTTGGAGGACTAGCCAGGCAATCTTATGTCCTGAGTAGTGCGTCAGTTTATCAGTAGAGGCTTCATAGACATAGTCGTAGGGTTAAGATTCAGATGTTCCTAATAATAATTTAGCAGTATTTCATTGGTTACTACGAATAAAATTTTGGAGTTGGTTTATTTTAGATATTTAAATTAATTGTGTTGGGTTTTCAATGTCTTTGCCTTATGCCTCTTATGTTTTGATGATCTAACAAACTTATTGTGAAGAACCAGACAGAGAACCTGACCCACGTGGTATACATTTCAAATGAATAATGTCCAATCTGATCTCCAGAAAATGAATGAACAATCACAAGGAGGTACACAACAGGGACCTAGTAACCTGGTCCCTTAGTGTTCTCCTACAGAAGTACAAATCAGTAACTGTCCGCAACTATTACAAAGAGAAACACAACAGGGACCTGGTCTATTAGTGTTCTCTGACAGAAGTACAAGTCAACTGTACAGCTGGAATGTAACAGCAGAAAGTGACTGTTTCGCAACTGCTACAAAAGAGGAACACAACAAGGACCTTGTCCATTAGTGTTCTCTGACAGAAGTACAAGTCAACTATACAGCTGGAACGCAACTGCACAAAAGTGACTGTGCAACAAACAGTGCAACAGTCACTTCTCATTGGGAAAAAGCGTGTACTAAGAGTTGACATCACCATCCATTGTGATATCTTTTCTAGTATAACAACCTGGTGCAAGACACAAAATATTCACTTGTGCATTCAGTGATATTCTCTCAAGTATAACAGTGTTCATCCGGCGTTGAAGTCACTGGTGTGTCAAGAACAAGAAGACAACTCCACTAAGGATCAGTTTCATAATGAGTCTATGTGTATCCGTAGTTGAGTTGTAATCTTGTTATTTGTTCTTCATTGCATCTCCTATCCTGCTTTTTTAGAAGCTTTGTCTTAGGAAAACCAAAAATTCGTAAACTTCCGAGTTTATGTTGTGACTAGGTTTAGTCATAAGTTTAAAGCCTTTGTAACTAGAAGAGTCACAAAGTGGCTTGTGGTGAGAGCATCACAAGTTAGTCAAAGTCTTTGTAATAGAGTCATTGCAAAGTGACTTGTAATAGTGAGATTGCAAGTTAGTGAAGTTAAAAGCCTACAGGTGTAGGTCGTGGTTTTTTTATCCCCTTGTGTGGGATTTTTCCACGTAAAAATCCCTTGTCTTCTTTACTTACAGTTTTATTAAGCATTCTCAGCATAACCTCATAGAGGACCAGGTACTTTACTGTTTGGTGGACTCATACAAACTAACAATTGGTATCAGAGCAGGTTCCTCCTATCAGGTTATCACCTAGGAAGGATCCTCATGGCTGCTCCACCAAATTTTGAAGATGTTCAATCTGCATACCGACCACCCAGGTTCAATGGACAATACTATGGGTGGTGGAAAACAAGAATGCATGATTTTATCATGGCTGAGGATTCTGAGTTATGGGATATCATTTGTGATGGTCCGCATGTCCCTATAAAGAAGCTTGAAGAAACTGGACCAATGGTGCCGAAGGACAGAAAGGAGTACAGTGATATTGACAGAAAAGCAGTAGAAAAGAACTATCGCGCTAAGAAAATCTTGGTATGTGGTATAGGACCCGATGAGTACAATAGAGTCTCAGCTTGTGATACTGCCAAAGAAATATGGGAAGCGTTGCAAACCGCACACGAAGGAACCACTCAGGTTAAACAATCCAAGATTGACATGCTCACCACAGAGTATGAGCTCTTCAGGATGAAGGATGATGAGTCTATACAAGATATTCACACAAGATTCACATCCATCATAAATTAGCTTCATTCACTTGGAGATGTTATTCCCGGAAACAAGCTTGTAAGAAAATTCTCAGTGTTCTACCTGGTTCTTGGGAAAGTAAAGTAAATGCCATCACTGAAGCTAAAGATGTACAAACTCTAACCATGGATGAGTTGATTGGCAATCTGAAGACATACGAGATGAAAAGAAAGAAAGACAGTGAAAGAAGAGAGCCAAAGAAGGAAAAGAACCCGGTACTCAAGGCTGAAAGCAGTGACTCGAGTGAAGAAGATAGTGATATGGCCTATCTTACTAAAGATTTCAAAAGATGGTTCGAAGCAGTGGTGGTATACCAAAGAGGGGTAGTTCTAGTAAAGCAAGGAGCAATGATCTCTGTCACAGGTGTGGAAAGGCAGGGCATGTCATCAAAGACTATCCACTTGCGAAACATGAGCAATACAGACAAAACCCTGACAAAGCAGGAAAAAGAAACCTGGTTCCAGACAAACGATTCAATCGAAAAAGTGCAGCTGACAATATTGTGAAGCAGGACCTTGTTGCATGGGGAGACTCCTCCAGTGAATCATAAAGGGAACCAGATGCAGAAAACTGTTCCATGATGGCAGTGGAAACTGAAGCAACGAAGTATGATTCACTGTTCGCGCCGATGGCTTAGTCTGATGATGATGAAGAAGATGAAGATGATGAGGTAAATTTTAGGGATGTTCAGAGAAATCTGAAATCCTATTCTTCTCAGAAGTTAAGGTCATTAGCAAATGTTCTAATTGATGCTTATTATATCCTTGACAATGATAAGGAAATCCTGACCGTAGAACTAGGAGAAGTCGAACAATCTAGAGATGATCCGGTGGTCTGTGTAGTGGACCTAAATGAGACCATAGTTAATCTTGAAAAAGAAAAGGAATCCTTGAATGAAAAAATAACTAGTGTGGAAAATGAGAGAGATGACCTGATGGTAGTAGTTGTCGACTTGAAGGAAACAATAGAAGGTCTTAGCAATGAGAAACACACCCTAGAAGAAAAAATTGCAACTACTGAGCAAGAGAGGGATGACCTTTTAGTGATAATTACTAATCTAGAGGAAACCATTGAGGGACTCAATAGAGAACATAGGAATGTAAATCTTGGGAAAGGGAAGGAAGTAGCTAGTGAGACACACATCAAGCTTGAAAAATAATTAACTGATGTGAAAACTAGTCTATGTGGTTAACTTGAGAAGAATCGGCAACTTCAAGATGAATTGGAGAAAGTAAGAATTGATCTTGAGAAATCTCTAAAGTGGACCTGGTCCTCAGATGCTGTCACTGCCATGTATTTTAACAATAGTGGAAACAGGCAGGGCATCGGGTTCAAAAGGGAGAAAACTCCTTACAACCCTCACAGCAAGTATGTCACTGTCCTTGATAACTGGTTGTGTACCCATTGTGGGAACAATGGGCACTTTAAAGAAAATTGCCAGGCCAGGGTTCAGTCTGTTCAGAAAAACAAAGTGTTTACTGACAAAGTGACTACTAACAAGGGACCAGTACCACTCGCAAGAAACAAATGTTGCCTGCATGGACCATAAAAGCCCTTATCCATCCTTTCTATCATAACAAGGGACCCAAACTAGTTTCGGTTCCTAAATCTAACCCATAATTTGCATGTGCAGGGAACAGTGAGAGGAAGCGGACTGCAATGAATCATGGACAGTGGATGCTCAAAGCATGTGACTGGAAACATCATGGATTTCTTCTCACTGAAAGCCCTGCAGGAAGGGAATGTATCCTCTAAAATTAAGGAAAAAGGGGGAGAGGATACATTCTCGGTGTTTGTAAAGTTGGAAAGGTTCTCTGACACTCAATTGGAAACATGTACTATGTGAATGGTCTGAAGTACAGTCTCCTGAGTATTTCTCAAATCTGTGATAGAGGGAACAAAGTAGAGTTCTTATCAAGAAGTGTGCACAGTTACCAATCTGATAACTGGCCAAGTGGTGTCAGTGGACAAAGGAAACAAGAACATCTACTTTGTTGACTATGAATCTCCAAAAGCTAGTGGTATAAGATGATTGAAGTCGGAACTGTGGCTTGAAAGATTTGTGCATGCAAGCTTCTCACCTTTGAATAAATTGATTCAGAAGGACCTGGTCCGTGGTCTTCCAAACTCACGATTCACCTGGACACTAGTTCACAAAACAAAGGAGAAGACTCTCGAGGTATGAATGGTCCTTGTCAAAAAGATTCTAGTGAAGACAAAATTGAAGGAGAACAGATCAGATTCGACCACGGGACAAAATTAAACATCGCCAAGAGTTTCTGGGCAAAAGCAGTAAATACTATTTTCTACTTAGTGAACAGGTGTATGATCAGGACCATCCTGAATCAAAACCCACTAAGAGCTGCCAAATGAAAGAAAACCAAAGACAACTCATCTGAGCACCTTCTTGACTGAAAATGCCATGTTCTCGACAACATGAAGGACCCGCTTGGGAAGTTTAATTCAGAGGCAATGAAGGAATCCTTCTGGGATACTCTTCACAAAGCAAAGGCCACAAAGTCTACAACAAAGGGCACACTGAATGGAAGGAAGTGCTCAAGGGGTACTCAACAAGACACCTTTCTCTAACCAAGGAAGAAACACTGATGTTCAATATAATAAACCATCTCTGGTCCCTGAGAAATATCTGAGGTTTCAAATAGGGACGCTGACATGATGAGTAAGATGGAGGAAACACGTGAAAGACAATGCAACATCATCTTCCACCTCTTATAAGGAACCTGGTACTTCACTTACCACTACTGAGGCTGAAGAAAGAGCAGAGATGCAGTTCATGGCACTCCACAAGCAACAGAAAAAAGATTATAGGAAAATCAAATTAACCTCCCAAGTTCCCCACAAAGCAAACCTCACTCTCTAACTAGAAACTCAAAATCTCCCATCCACTTGATAACACAATCACTCCCTTTCATTCTGAACTGAAACAAGAAATCAGAAATCTGTGTTTTCCTTCCCAGTCCCTTCTGTATTTCCCCTCGAGAAATAGAATCCAAACTCAAGTCCCAAGGAATCATACTTGAAGGTTGTCAAAGGAAGTCTTGAGCTATCTTAAGGGAACACAGGATCTAGTCTTGTATCACTCCGTAGGTGACAGCTTAACCTTATTTAGCATGCTAATGATTAACTTTGCAGGTTAGCTTGTGTACAAAAAAAAGGGGGGGGGGCACTTATGGAGTGGTTCACTTGTCATGATCATGTCTCATTCCTTGGGGGACAAGGAAGCAAAACTCAATTGCCTCATCAACAAATGAAGATTTCAAAACAAGAGGACCAAGCACTTTGAGGGGTGGCATTATCTTCTGAGAGTCTTGCAGAACAGAAGACCAAATTCCAGGTATCTTCACCAAAGCCTTGGGTAGAGAATATTCTGGAAGAAACAAGGTGAAGATGGGGTCATGAGAGTTCAATGGGGAACCTGATTCACCATCAGTTGGANTTGTAATCTTGTTATTTGTTCTTCATAGTATCTCCTATCCTGCTTTCTTAGAAGCTTTGTCTTAGGAAAACCAAAAATCCGTAAACTGCCTAGTTTATGTTGTGACTAGGTTTAGTCATAAGTTTAAAGCCTTTGTAACTAGAAGATTCACAAAGTAGCTTGTGGTGAGAGCATCACAAATTAGTCAAAGTCTTTGTAATAGAGTCATTGCAAACTGGCTTGTAATAGTGAGATTGCAAGTTAGTGAAGTTAAAAGCCTACAGGTGTAGGTCGTGGTTTTTTGATCCCCTTGTGTGGGATTTTTCCACGTAAAAATCCCTTGTCTTCTTTAGTTACAATTTTATTAAGCATTCTCAGCATAACCTCATAGAGGACCAGGTACTTTAATGTTTGGTGGACTCATACAAACTAGCAAATTGGTTACAGCATTGCCTTGTGGCATATAAAGTTTGAAGTTATAAAAGATTTGATAAGCGCATATGGTTCGCTCGGTCATGTTTAGTGATCGGGTGCCAGTCCCGGATTGTGTAGAAAATGGGTCGTGAAAAACTTGGTATCAGAGCGTCAGGTTTTTGTGGAGTCCTAGGGGTCAATGAAGCCGTGTTAGTAGAGTCTTGTTTATGGGTATGAAGCGCGCCATACTTATAAACCGGAGGCTACAAGTATTTAGGAAAAATCTCTTTTTTTCATACTTTAGATCGTGCAGCAGATCCTACCTCTATGAAATTATCTAATGTATTCGTTTCTCCAAAACTCGAAGAAATGGCTCGTACTCGCAACTCTGACACTAACACTCAGGATGCTACTCAAGAAATTATTGCTACAATTGTGGCTCAAGGTAGAACTAAGAAGGCTTCAACTCAGAAAAGGAAGAGTAAATCCACAAAGGGGGTTCAAGTACCCCGGGTTGAACATGAAGAAGGGGTGGAGCATGATGATCCAGTATCTCAAGATCCAGTGTCGCCCCCAACAACAGCTCCGACTCAGACAGCTATATCTCCAGAGGTGAGTCAGATGTTTAATGCTGTCAACAGTGTTATGGAGATGTTTAAAGCCTTCATGGCTAACCAGAACAAGAGAAGAGATGAGATTCTACCTCAATCAAATAGACAGAACAATTATTGTTCCATGGTTCTATAGCTGATGAAGATCCAATGTTGTGGCTGGAGGGTGTCAAGAAAGCCCTCCGAGTGATGAAAGCATTTGATGATGAAGCTGTGGAGCTGGCTGCTTACCAGCTTAGAGATGTGGCCGGCGCTTGGTTTGAGATGTGGGAAAAGGAAAGAGATGAAGATGATGGTCCGCCTACTTGGGAAGAATTTGAAGAGGCCTTCATGGCTAACTTTATCCCGGAAGAGGATAGGGAAGCTAAGGCTACAGAGTTCGAACAGATCAAGCAAGGAAATAAAAGTGTGCAAGAGTACTATATGGAATTCATAAGGTTGGCTAAGCATGCTACTCACATGGTTAAGACAGAAAAAGCAAAGATTCGCAGGTTTGTTGGCGGTTTGGCTTACCACATTAAGGATACGACATCAGCCGCCGCGGTAGAAATGATAGCTTTCTCCTCTGTTGTAGGATTCGCCAAGCACTTAGAAAAAGACAGACAACAAAGGAGAGAAGAAAAAGG